CGCGGCCGCCCTCGAGCGAGGCCTGTGGCGGCGGCGCCCTGGGCTCCCCGGGCAGCCAGCAGCGCCTCAGCCTGACGAGCTCTGCGTTTCTTCTTTTTTTTTCCTCTTTTAATAAAGAAACTGTGCAGTCAAGTGTGGAGCAGTTTCAGTTGCTGCTTCAATCTAATCAGGTGAAACGCGTAACTCCTGGATTTTTATTATTTGATAGTAGCAGGGTCCAAAATTACATTTCAATAAATTTCATTTCACAAAAAAACTTTACTGAGGAAAGAAAATACCAATTCAACTTAAACCAACTTTTCTCTTAGTTCAATGTTTGTATGGAAAAATAATTAAGCAGTCCACTTAGAAAGCCATAATCTGTTCATGAGCATGCAGGTATCAATTTTATCTTATGAGAATTTTTCCATGTTCCAGTTGCTTCATTCCTTATTACATGCTGCAAAAGGCAGTAATAATTTTTATAGCCAAATATCTCTTCATAAGATACCAGGTGGCTTTCAATATTTACTATTTAAGTCATGCATGAAATTTAAACATTACGAAAAATGACTTACCCGTTGACACTCCTGAAATATGCACATTTTCAGAATGTTCTGCAAGAGCACCATTTCCTAAAATTAAACATAATGAATAAGCTAATTTCCAAGATAAAATTTGTAAAAATTCTTCAGATACCCTTTTACAGAACAGAAAGAACAAAACTGAACTTATTTCAATTAACAATAAATATTAAAGCGCCTAGGCACATTTTAGTGTAAAACTTTGACAAAGACTAGAGAAAAAGTTATTATACAGAGAAAATAAAAACAAGTTTCATTAATGTACTAGGAACAATTAAACATACTAGAAAAGAGGAAGTAGTAATTGGCTAAAGTAGGACAGTGGTTAGAGATTTGAGGAACTTCAGATTTTCAGTTTTTTTTTTAATCAGCATTTTGCTTCAACTGTTATTTTGCTCTTCAATAAATGTTTATTCCAATGCACCTCCCCTGTCGGCTCCTAGATGAAGATATCCAAGTAAAAGCTACGCGAGTGAAGGCATTTATGGAAATCAACATTCATAAGAAAATGTTGCCTACACCTTTTGCTCAGAAAAACGTTTCAGAGGTAATTGATAAGCTACCATCAAGGAAACGCCCCAATTTTCGTTACAAATAAGTATACTTTAAAAATTACAGGATAAAAAAGAGTGCTAAACACGTGACGAGACCAAGTAGTCGCTTCTCCATTTTCTCTGTTCAGTTTTCACACTCCTCACGCCTCTTTCAACCTTTTAAAAATCCTTTCATCAAATCTTCTAATCATTTTGAGAGAAGAGTACTGTTTTCAGTATAATTTGAAAAACTTTAGTCAAGAAGCTTTAAAACCACCGCTCTAACCTCCTCAAAATTTTGTTAAATTAAAATTTGTAAACCTTCTAATCATTTTGAGAGAAAAGCACTGTTTTCAAGAATGGGCTGCACTTATCATCATTGGGGAAACTATAATTTGAAAAACTTTAGTAAAGAAGCTTTAAAACCACAGCTCTAACCGCCTCAAAATTTTGTTAAATTAAAATTTGCCATGTCACAAGTGTTTAGTTGACCTAAAACAGATCTATCTGAACGAGCACCTTGGTGCCCTTCAGATACAGCAGTTACAAATAAAATGGTTCAGAAATTGTTCCTGAGGTTGGCAACAAACAGGCAATGACCTTTTTTTTTTTTTTTTTTTTTTTAACTTTCCAAAAAACCACCACAACATAATTAGAAAGTCTGATGATCAGAATATGCGGAAAAATTCAAAGTCCTCTTCCCGCACCAAAATTACGGAGTCTTAAAGGTGTTGAGTTTTACCTTCCTCATTTTTTTTCCCAAGTAATAATTTTACTGAATATATTTACATAAACATTTACTTGTTTACATTCAAGTTGCTTTGGCTCAATAAAGAAGAAAAACAATAAGCCCTCAAATGCTGCAATTAACCTCAAGGTGAAAAACTAGCACTTTAAATTGGAAATAGTTGTTCTCTAATACAATACTTTTTGTAAACAATAGTTTTACTTCAAAATCTCCCCATAACGAAAAAAAATCTCCAAATTGTTAATTCCTCTATTTTGCATATAAATGGACTTAGAGAAGTGTTCTTCACTTTGCTTTTGTTTCTTTGGGAAGAATTAGATCTAAATTCACAAAAAGAAATCTATGTCACAAAGTGATTTTACTTGCAAGCAATGATTCCTCAGAAGCTCATTTCAGATCCCAACTTGTTTTCTATTATTACAATTACACCCTAAGGAAAACAATAACTTAAAACAAAAGGCCTTGATGTGATAAAAACTCCTATTGAAATTTCATCTTTCAAATTACAGGACGATCATCCACCATTTTTACATCTTCAAAAATTTGTTACTAGCACGTTTAATTGTAGCTGCAGTTGTTACTGAACACTGAGGTAGAACAACATAAAAAAGGAATTCACAAACATTTAGAAATAGGGAAAACTTCATAGTAAATGTGGGTGAAGGGAGTCAAAGCACCCAGGAGAAGATTAGTTTTGACATTGGTTGAGAAAGGGAAACTTCCCCCCATCTACTCCCGACGATTCCCAAATTTGAATTACATACAAACTGGCCATGCATAAAAACAGGAGAGAAAAAGAAGGAAACAAAACAGACAGGAAACAATAAAAAAGAAAAAAATATGATACCAATACTAGAGCAAAATGCGAAAATACAGGCTTAGTGCTGAAGTGATAGAAAGAAATGCAATGTATTTACAAAAAAAAGCACAGACTAAAATAAATTATAAACCTATAGTGACCAGAAGCACACTAAAATGCATTTAACTTCTGTATGCTGACCTTAAAGTAATCAGACTAAGGAAGAGCTGAAGTCAGTGTCCAAAATGAAAGACTTGGTATGTTTTTTCTAAACATACTCTGTGATCTGACGTGTTTTGACACAAAGTGATGCCATGTTTATTTGCAAACCAACTTCAATCAAAGGAGGCAACAACGCTTACTCTCAACTCAGCATCAAATACTGTAATATCAAAATAGATTTTTTTTTACTTCCTTCCCAATAACAATTTGTTACATGAAAGATAAGCTTGACAGACCTCTCGGATGATTACTTCCTTCCTTTCTTATTCAAAACGTCACTGAAATAAAATGTGCTTTTACTAATTACTTAAAATTTTCTGAAAGGAGTCAGCAATGTTCCTTATGTTACCTCAGCATGTCATTGTGTGACCCTATAAACAGGGTCCACTCGACTATCAATACATCAGATAATAGCACAGTAATTCCCATTAAGATATGGAAACCACCTTCGAAATCTTTCAGTCTACTTGACACAGTGTGTGAGTAAATTTTTCCTTAGCGCATTGATACAGCTTTCATATTTCTTTGATTTCTCTTAAGTGAAATCTTTTAGTCTATTTGACACAGTGTGTGAGGAAATATTTTTTCCTTAGTGCATTGATATAACTTTCATATTTCTTTGATTTCTCTTAAGTATTATCCATTCCTATTTCAACCTGAAGTAGGAGGTTGAAAGAGGCTGCCTCTAACAAAACTTGACATAAAGTGTGTCCACATCCCTTACAAGTGATGGGCAAGAGACAGGCAAAGTGCTCAAAGGCACAAAGAAGCACAAATTCATTCTGCCTGCTCCAAACCAAGTCTGTCTGTCACAAAACCAACCCATTCCATCACGTGCTGCTTCTGTGACTCCTTAATAAAAGAGACTCAGGTAATCAAGTTTGCACGATCACCTTTTATTTGTCACGTATGACAAATGGATAATGGAAGTTAGGTGATATTAGGCCAATATGTATGACAAATTTAGTTTTGCAGCTTAAAACTTGGGCAGCAATTGGATTTCAATTTAAAAAAGGCAAGGCTCAAGATACAAAACAAACATTTTAAAAATCAGAATAGAGTGCTTGGTAAATGGGACATGAAATCTGTTAAACTATAGGTAAATTTCAGATAAAGCAAACCATGGAAACAGGAACCCTTTTTCCAAGCTTTCTAGTGAAGCGCCCCCGAGTGCCGCTCTCCTCGCTGGCACCGTGTTGGACATTCCCTGCTTGCCGCCTTGTCCAGGCTGTTCCACACTGCACATGCTCTATAAATAACCACCAGGGTCTGAGCTGACTTTTCATCTTACAGAATTCTAAAAATTTCTCAGCTGTCCAAAGAGCAGCCCAGCTACTTGGTTGGTCTGTGATTCCAACAGACTCATGCAGACCAGCCGGGTCCTTGGACCTTAGCCGGGCTGTCTCTGCTGCACTCAACCTCCCGAGATGCTACCTGCTCTTTCCAGCAGGGAGAACTAGGCAGCAATTCCATGAACACTTGCTGTAATTCCTCTGGATTTGGGTCTGACCTAAGGAGCAGGCAAGAAGATACCGGCTTTACCAGCAGCTCTGGGGCCTTTCTCCCATGCAGGTTTATATGAAGCCATGCTAGAAACAAAAGAAAACAAATCCAAGCATAAGCCCCCACTGCTCCCAGGCAGAGTTTGCAATAGAAAACAAAAATACAGAGAGGAAAACAAGTCACAGCATGAGAAGATGTTCAGCAGTCCAAATACCTATTCCAAGTTTCATCACAGCTTGCAGAACAGACAGGCCAGGGTGTGGGGGGACACGGGGCAAATGAAATGTTATAGCACTAAACTTGTCCCACCAAACTGCAGAGGAAAAGGAAGGGAAAACGTGAAAGAGCAGTGCAATAGCACTCAGAGTACGATAACTTTGGGAAAAACAGCTGTAAGATTGTACTTGCTTGAAATCCAGACAGTAAATGAGATATTGGACTGATAGGAAAGCTAGCCTAGCCTGGTTAGCCTTCCCCTTCAGGCTGGGATTTAGCTCCTCACAAACTTGCTTTCCAACTGCATGCCCAGGATCTCTGGCTCTCAAAACAAAGTATAACGGCCTATAAACTCAATGTACAAAACGAAGCCTGCAGTGCTGAAATAAGCATCTTCTTGAGAGTGAAATCCATGCACTTCGGAGAAGGTTAGTTTAATGGACTCTCCTCCCTGTCCCAAATTAGGTGGCTGCTTTAATCAACAGGTCCAGCTTAAGCAAGACAAGTTCCTGCATTTCAGCAATCTGAACCGGGGAGTTTCTGGTAATGAACATCAAAAGTATCTAAATGCTGAAACCAAACAGCAATTGCTCTTAAGTGAAAGCCTTGTTTTAACTTCAGTTGGACTAACAGCAGTAATAAGAACATATAGTTAAGTGATACACATTGTAAAAGTGCACACAACAGCCTAGTACATGCAGATTTCTCCATTACTATTTCAAAACCTAATTTTAAAACTTCAATTTGGAAAAGAAACATGCATCTTGGGACTGAATTAAACACAAACTGTTTTAAAGAGAAATTAACTCGACTGTTGAAATGAAAAATGAGAAACAAAAATCCACAGTGAAAACCAACACATTTAAGTGGCCCTTATTTTTTGCTGTTAAAGTGAGTAATCATTACCCACAAAAAAGCAGGCATATCTGCATGCAAGCTGAATTCTCTTATGTCAATTAAAGTCTCTGCCATTAGCTTTAACAGCCAAATTATAAATCCCTAAAAACAGAGTTGTATAAATTGAACTGCTGTAACAGAATGGCTACAAAAAGATAGCTTTTTCTAAACTACCTCAAGCTAGAACATAACATGGTGCATAATGCTACAATAAGCAAATTGAACAGG